CCAGCATTTTGAACATTTACTTTAAGCATAATTTGGAACATTCTGTTTGACCAAAAAGGACACTTTCAAATTGGACTACAGCCTTACTTTTTTTAGAAATTTAACTTTGTAGGTTGCAAAATAAATTTTCTATAACAGTTATCAGGGATACAGATATAAGTGTGTATACATTTTTCTGACTCACCCTGTAGTTGATCAGATTTACCAAATTTCCTTCAGATGGAAAAAGTTCATTATTTATGTAAGATGTTTTTAAATGTAAAATGATATCATAAGCTAATATAAATAGAGTGCACATTAAATTGATGCAATTTTCAGCTTGCTAAACTATTCACATAAAACATATATTACAATTAAATAATAAATTTCATACAATTTATTATGAACTTAGCACAAAATACAGAAATCAAATAAAAAGCTTAAAATCAAAATTCTACAACATTTGAATAAAAGGCAAATGCTACTAAATATTTTTTCTGGGGGAGGAGGTTATTATGTAAGGAGAAAATAAGATCAAAACCAAATAAATTTAAAATATAATATCATTGTAATTAAATTAACATCGATTTTTTAAAATACACAGTTACCACAAGTTGCCGATAAGTGATTTAAAATCTGAATTGAAAGCATTACCAGTACTTACGATGTAACAATACATGAAAGCTAAAACAGAACTGAAAAATACAAAATAAATTTAAAGCAGCTGGATAAATAAAAACAAATTAATCATCAGCCTATTAAAGACAAAAACTTACAGCCTAAGAGCTCCAGTTGCATAGAATCTATGAAAAAGACTGCACTATTAAATATCTTTTGAATGTAAAATTATACGAAAAAGCAGCCTTTTACTAGTGTAATTTCAATTAGCACATTAATTTTTATGGCAATGAAACACATGTGCTTCTTCTTCAGGAGCAAAAAAAAATTTGCATAATGGCAGAAGCAGAAATCGCATATATCAAAAGCAGTGAACAAAGCAAAGTGAACATGAAGAAGAAACATGTAAGAAAGAACATGTTCACACGACGACAACACCACCTATCTAGGAAATAGTAATGACATGTGAAAAACTAAGGCATTAAAATTATGAAAACATTAGGAAGGACTGGATTGGAATTATTTTCATTAATAAAGTATCTAAATTCTTCTATAAACTTCAAAGAAATCCAATTCACCAACAGGAGAAGTAATTTTTAATTTAACTTTCTGGGTAATTTTTGTAGAATAGAAGTGAAAATGAAAACCACACTTGGATATTTGCAATCAATATCCAAGTATGGTTTTCTATCGAAGATTCATTTAAAACTCTCTCCTTTTTGAATCTAAGATTCATATTCATTGACAGGAAATTTTAACATTTTTTTTAGTTTGATGTATGACAAATCACATTCACAAAATAAGCTATAAATTCTGCAAGAATTAAAATTAGGGATGGAATCTATGTATTGAGAATGAAGTTTACTGATATGCTAGCAAATGGTCTGAAAGTTGAAATTTCAGATTTTAAGAATCCAGGTGATTTTGTAACTCGCAAAAGGATTATATGGAATAATGACAAGGCCATTACTATTATTTCTAATAGCAGACTGTGTTTTTTGATAGTGAGACACAAAGGTTTTAGCCTTGAAGCAGTGTCATACATCGATCAAAGTAAAAGAACAAAATTTTGCTTCAATAAACATGAATCTTGTACTCAAAAAGAAGAATTAAACAAATATTCAATACCTAACCATAGCTGGATGCTTGATTGCAGTTTTTGAATTGGTTTGGTAAAAATGATAAGAAAGTTTCTTCAAATGGTAAATTAGATTTCCTCAAAGTTTTTCATTTTCTTAAAGGGTATCTTTAATTAATGACAGCAATTCCAATCTGGTCCTTTCAAAATGCTTTCACAACTCCAAGACGCTTTTCATATCTCATTACTAATCTCTTTGACAAATGACACTGCCTGTGCTCACTTTGCTCCACCCCTTACTTTTGGTATAAAAGTGGTTGATCAATTTTTTCATGTTTCATTACTATTTTCCTCAATGATAATAGCTTTATGTTTTAGCCTCATTAGCTTTATGTGCTCATTTTGCTCTGTCCACTGATTTTGGTATGAAAGTGGTTGCTCCTTCTCCCATTTTGCAAAACCTCTTTTTGGTCCTGAAAATGAGGGACCTGTGTCTAATCGCCCTTGAAACTGACAAAGTTTTATTCAAAACCTATGCTAAAATTGGATTCCTTTTCTGCTTTATTTTAATTTATACATGGCTGTGTTTTCTTCTATTTGATTATCTCTTGTATAATTGATCATTGATTATGAATTCCCTTTTAAGAAATGAGTTAAATATGGTAGACTTCCAGACTGCAACAATTTTGGTCACAAGGGGCACCTTTTAGTAAAAACACAGCAATACTCAAATTTTTATATAGGCCTTATGGGAATGGAGGTGTTAAAACCTAATACAATGATAGTAATGCTATTGCTATCATATGTAAAGGGTTATTAATAGCATTGCAGTCAGTTTATTAATAGGGAAGAATAAAGTTACTTTGAAAAAATGTTTATCATATAAAAATTAGTGAAACAAAATTATGAAACAATCAGAATTATTTAATTCATAATTTAAGTTTCCAATGAAAAACTGGGGATAAATGCAACTACACACAGATATGTGTTTAAACATTTGAAAGCAAATATGTGAATGATATATTTTATATCAGAAAAGCACAAAAATGTATAGATGTTGCATTATTAGATTTCAAACATTTTTTTATTTCCAAAAGTTTAATTTTTATGTGACTCTAAAAGTTACCTTTTTTTTTTTTTTTTTTTTTTAACAAAGCCTTTCTTTTGATCGGGTAAAAGTGTTTTATGCCACATAATTTTAACAGCATATAAGAGAAACTTTTCTTTTTCTAAGGGAAAAAGGCTTTAAAGGAAAACATATAAACTTATTAAATATAGCTTCCTTTCCACAAGTCACTTATCAAAATTTCAATCTGTATATACTTTAACTAAAAGATAAAACATGAGAAAAAATGTCATAAAGTAAAATGCTAACTTATTTATTTTTTAAATGGAGCCACAAGTTTGTGATCAATTAATCATGAGACATTTAGACTTACATCTTTTTTTAAATGCCTTATAAAGGGTGTTCCACCCAAATGAGGCATAAGAAATCATGTTGTCATTCCATAAATATTTCACCAAATGTGACAACATTTCAACAAAAGACAGCGCATTATATTAGAAAATTAAAGTTTAATACTGTAAACAATGAGGGAGTGTGTTTACAAACAAGTTACTGCAGGAAAATAGAATGTCATGAAGCACATGTCAAAGAGCAATGAAAAAAAAAAAAAAAAAAAAAAAAAAAAGACCTGTATCTGTATTAGTTTATAAGTGTTCATAGCCAATCAGGTGGGATAGCGATTAGTGAAGCAGACTGCCCTACTGAAGGTTGGAAATTCAAATTCTGGAGAAGGCTTAAATGTTTTCAAATGTATAGTATCCATGAAGCATGAGGCACTCAAATTGTGCAGCAAGCTGAAAGTGGTTTGGAGTGGTACTCTTGAGTGGTTTGGTGCTCTCTTGGCTTAAAAATTAGGACAGAACTGGCACATACATACTCTTACCTGCATGGTGTTCAAAGCTTATGCCAACAACAGATGCAGTTTTGCATTTCTTGCCATAACAAAATTCATGGGCTCGTTTTGATTAAATCAGACAAGTGAGAGCAACAAAGCATGAGTTTTCATGAAATTTACAGGCTGATTATTATAAATGCATTACATTCTGCCATTGGTTCCACAATTCATTGCAGAGAAGCCTGGAATACACATGATTCAGTGATGAGACATGATTCCACCTATCTTGTTATATTATAGAGTAATCAGGTTAATTGGAAGCAGAAAAGATGAAAAATAGCAACGGCCTTCGCCGGGAATCGAACCACGGACCTCTGGAATACCGGCCCAGCGTGCTACCATGACACCACGAAGGCATGCTAGGGAAGTGGGAGAAATACCTTATATACTCCCCTTTTTAAAGGGTGACTAGGGTTTTAGGGGACCTAGTCGCCAAATCCTGGGTGCAGAGAATCATCATCCACAACCCTTTTAGTTCGGGCGCCACTTATAGAGCCATTAGGTTAATTGGAAGCAGAAAAGATGAAAAATAGCAAACTGCCTTTGCCGGGAATCAAACCACGGACCTCTGGAATACCGGCCCAGCGTACTACCGTTACACCACGAAGGCACACTAGGGAAGTGGAAGAAATACCTTATAATATAAACTCCCCAAAACATGTTTATAGGGCAGTGAAAGGGATTTACGAGGCATGCACTACTCAAGAAACCCCTTCATTCATAAAAGCATGTTCTGAGCATTATTATAGTGGCACATAATCACGGCTATTCTTTTTCAATCAATTGCGACTTTTGTCAAAAGGATTATGGCTCACAAGAATTACCAGATGTAGTGATTTGATAATTCACCCACCTGGGTTTTTCCTGAAACCTTAAATGAAAGGGCTACAAGGACAAACCATTCATCCTTGATGAATTACAGTAGAACACCCACCATGAAATTGAGACACTGACACACCAAAGTTCTGGTAGTCACATTTACAAACTTACTACATCATGCACGCTGAACTGTATTTAGAAGTTTGAGGGTGGGAGGCCCTCTCATGATTTATGTTTATTTCTCACACATACTGTATATCATGTTCAAATTTTGCTTTATTTCTTTCCCAGTTACACAACAGTTTCTGGGATCCTTTCGAATGGAACACCTGTTGCAAAGAAGTATCCCACCCCAAATATTTCCACAGTCCAATCATTATATATTCAGCTCTTTGGTAAAACTGTAGCAGTTGCTGGCTCTAAAATACTAATTTATACAAGATTAACAATTATGCCTAGCATTAGGGATCATTAAGAAAATATAGAATTTTAAATGAAATAATATAAAATAAAATATTGAACATTTCAAAACTAATCATACTAACCTAAATAATAACGATGAAATCTCATGCACATTGTAGGGCGACCAAGCATTCGCCAATTAGTCCTAAGGAAAGCTATATCTGATCGTACTGTACTGGCAAGGAGTTCAATATCATTAACCAAATAGAAATCTTCTCTGTCAAGATTCTACATGCAAAATGAAAGGACATTCAAGAAGCAACTACATGCATGCTCATTAATGCTGACATCTAAAGACTACAAGCAGCCTATTAATTCCCAGATTCATTCATTTATCATGAAAAGGTTTAGCACAAATAAAAAATTCTAAAACAAAAATGTTAAACTACAGCAAACATAGACTAAATAGCATTAAAATAATTTGATTCTTTTGTACATGGTTTCAAAAAGTTGCCTGAAATGTTATTTTGATGAAAATTTGTTACTTTGCAGTTTACATAAATAATCCCAAATCCCTCAAAACAAGAGGGGAAACAGAGTTTTACTACTATGAATTCTTATTTTAATTTTGATTTGCTTAGATATTGTGTTAAACCTCTTATACACTGTGGCAATTATCCATATTGTTGAGGAATTGCCTTGCTTTGACTCCAGTTTAAACTTTAGATGCTTTAAGTTTATATATGTTGATACAGACTTTGTATTAGCTATTTTTAGTAGAATTTGTAATTCAAATTGTTTTATATTCCCATACAATGCAGCATGAGACTTATTTGAAGAGAATGCTATGCTATAAAAATTAAAATACTCTTTTGATATTCAGAAAAATCAAGAAAATACCAGAATATTCTCGTGCAGGATTAAAAAGACTACAAAAGCTGGAGGAAAACATCTCAATCCAGTTGTTTACTTAGTTCTTGTTGTGAATTCGCAGTGAGATCAGATTAGCTTTCTCTCTTTTAAATTGAGTTTTATTTATATTTTAGCAGTTCAAAATATAAGTACTGTGAGATATTGCAATATTGTATGAATATCTCTGAGGAAATTTCAGCATTCTTTTTTTTCTTGGAATAGGAATAAATTTTGTTAACTTTTTATCGACTTGTGCATTCAATCCATTACGAATGCGTACGCATGCAAAACTCTTTGGTGTCAGAAGTGGGATTTGAATGCCAATCACAAGAGCAATGGAAGAGCAGTAAAGACAGCTGATAGCAGCCTTTACTGCATTTACAGAAGAAATTAAAGTGAGCCAAGAAACTGTTAAATAGGAGATGAAAGCAGTTAAAAAAAGATGGATGTGTCAAGAAAAGATTGAAGCAGGATAAGAAGAGATGAGAAGAGAAATTACCTGCATTATAGAAAATAAATTTGAGGCTATGGTAGGCAGAATAGACAAGGTTGAAAATAAAGTTGGACAAACTGAAGAAAAAGCTTCTTCTGTCAAAGAACAAAAAGAAGAGAATGTTTTGGCTGTGGAACAACAAATTGATTACAGAGTTTTTTCTGTCACAGAACAAATAGAAGAGAGAATTTCTGTTGTGGAACAACGAATCGAAGAAAGGGTTTTTGCCATTTAACACCAAATTGTTGATACTTTAAAGAAGTTCATAGCGATGGCAAAGAGCAATTCTGATAGTTTTAAATTTTTACTTATGCTTGCTTGTTTCTCTCTGAAGCTATCCACTTATGATGGGAAATTCTCCTGGCAAATATATAAGACACAGTTTTCTATAGTGGCAGAAGCAAATGGATGGGATCCCCAAGCTAAGGCCTGTCATTCCGCCACTTCTCCGAGAGCAGATGCAGAGGATATCCTTCAGGCTGTTCCTGAAAACAGAAGGCTAGATTTTGAAGCTCTATCTGGCATATTGGAACTGTGCTTTGGCGAGAAATTTTAAAGAACTACAGGCTTCAATAAAAATTCTATTAACAGAAGCCCACGGAAACACTCCAGGAGCTTGTCAATGATGTTGAAAGGCTGTCCCACCTCACCTTTCCAGAGTGCCCGACAGAAACAAGGGAAATCTTGTCCCTGCAATACTTTATCGATGGCATTTGGGATAACGAAATACAGCAAGCTCTACAAATAGCGGATATCACCACTCAGTCAGAGCTGTGCAAGTTCATGAGCCAGTGGATCAAGTGATGGCTCGTTTAGATGATTTAACCACACAAATCAATGCTTTGATATGGAAAAAGGAAAGAGAAGAAACTGACTCTAAAGTGTTGGAAATGCAGTGCTGAGGACATGTATGAAGGAACTGCGGAACACCCCAGGACAAAGAAAATAAAACAGATGATTTGAGAAGACAAAATTAGTGCCTTCAGTTGGAATACAAATAAAAAGAAACCAACCCTAAAGTGCTGGAATTGCAGTGAAGGCCACATACGAAGGAGCTGCAGAATATCCTAGAACACAGAAAGTAAGACAGATGATGTAAACAGACAATTAAATGCCATGGAATGGAAAAGGAGTGACAAAAAAAAAAAAAAACCAAAGTGCTAGAACTGCGAAGCTGAAGGCCATGTACAAAGGAACTGCAGAACACCCCCAGGGTATAGAAAATAAGATCATTTCCCAGCAATGACACAGGAAACAAATTAATGATCATATCATGGAGTGGAGTTTGAATGATAGTGAAAAACACCATTTTAAAGTGCTCAAGATTTCTGAAGTGAGTGGCAACAGTAATAGACTACCCATCAATGGGCATAGCAATGGAGTTTCTTGCAATATGATCATTGACACAGGAGCTAATGTTACCATCATTCAGATGGATTTAGCTTAACAGTTTAGAGATAAACTTATTTGGACGCCATCCTGTGTTACCCTCCAGACTGCGCCTGGCGATGAAATCTCCAAAGCTGGAAAGTTAAATGTGAACATCACGTTTGGAAGTGCTGCCTACCATCATACGGCATATGTAGCAGATATTACAGATCCTTGCATACTCGGATTGAACTTTTTAAGGAAATACAATTTTTCCCTGGACTTCAAAAACAACAGACTGCTTTCAGCAAAAGAGGATACAAGTATTCATTATCAGAAGGGATCCTCACCTGGAAACACTAATGTCTTGTCTGAAAGACCCTGCTTTGAAAGCTGCCGAAATCATGCTAGGGTGGAATAGAAACACTGGACTACTGGCTATTCTCCATCCCAGATGCTCATTGGTTGTGACCTTCGTCTGCCTTGTGATCTTTTGTCTGGTCGCCCTCCGGATGCACCTTCATCACCTGAGGAAGACATTCAAAATCTCCAGGCCCGGTTTGAAATGATGCACAACTTTGCATGAGAGCATGTCAACTTGGCGATGGAGAAGATGAAGACCCGATATGACACAGGAGCTACTGAACATCAATTCAATGAAGGAGACAAGGTGTGGTTGTGGAATCCGACTCGACAGAAAGGACAAGGTGTGGTTGTGGAATCCGACTCGACAGAAAGGACTCTGTCCAAAACTAGAGTAGCCTTGGGATGGTCTGTACACAGTCCTAAACAGGCTGAACAACGTTGTGGTTTGGATCCGTAAGTCATCAAACTCTAAACCTAAAGTCGTTCATTACAACAGGTTAGCTCATTACTATGGCCATAGTACATAGTGTATTAAATTGTAAATTGTACAAGACCATGGTCCTTTTTGTTTCTAACTTTGTATTTGATTTGATTTGTATTTAGTATTTAATTTGTTTTAAGTTACTTATTGCAATTATTATTTATGTTTTTTTATTATTGTAATGTTTATTGTTGTATTGATGCCTGACTTGTAAGTTTGGCTTCCTGTCCACGGATTGTACTGACCAGGACGTGCAGTCCTTAGGAAGAGTGCAGTGCTACGGATTTTGTATTTATTTAGCCATTTTTAGTTGAATTTGTAATTAAAATTGTTTTATATTCCTGTGCAATGCAGCACGAGATTTAAAGAGGAATTTTAATTTAAAGAGAAAGCTACCCCGGTAAAATTAAAATATAGGAGCATGCGCATTTAACATTTTAACAAATAGATATTTCTTAATTGTACTCTTTTGCTAGCCAGAAAAATTGAGAAAATATCAGAAAATTCTCGTGCAGGATTAAAAAGATTATAAAAGCGGGAAGAAAATATCTCAATTCAGTTGTTTACTTAGTTCTTGTTGTTGATTGTAGCAAATTTTTGGCGAGATCGGATTAGATTTCTCTGTTTTGAATTGAGTTCTGTTTATATTTTAGTGGTTCAAAATATAACTACAGTGAGATATTGCGATATTGTACGACTATCTCTGAGGAAATTTCAGCATTTCGTTTTATTTCTTGGGATAAGAACAAATTTTGTTAACTTTCAATCGACTTGTTCATTCAATCCACTACAAACTCGTACGCAAGCAACAATATATATATATATATATATAAAGTATATATATATACAGCAGAATATAATTTATTTAACCTTCAGTCAGCATGGTGTATCTGTGAGATACTTTTCTATTCTTAAGTAAACGGAGGAAGATAATGATGCAGAAGACTAAAGAGTTTAAACAGAAATTCAAACTTTATTACACAATATGGTTAAAATTAATGACTCTTTTAATTTGACTATTTTTTAAAGTACATATCAGAGTATCTAGAAAGTAGTATTTCTCACTTATGTTGAAATCTGGTTATTTGAGCACTATAAAAACGTATTAAACAATAATGCTTTATCTGATATTCATGAAAAACTAAAATTCGTATGAGAAGTTCAAGAACTTCTTCATTAACAAGCTTCTTCAAGTTCTAACAAGTTCTTCAGTTACAACTGAAAAGCTAGATGGAATTCTGCAGACTATGAACAAGGAATTATATCAAGTGTTATTAGTACCTTATGTGTTAGATAAATAAACTTAAGTTCCTGCTTCTACCATCTTTAACTTTAAGCAAGTATCTTGAAAAAATAATAACAGAGAATACAAATTTCACGAAAATTATCAAATAATTTTTTTTTTACTGATGTCTAAATGTTTCTATCTGAAGGCAAGACAGATAATAATATAATAAAACTATTCATATGGCTTATTCATCATAAATTTAGATTAAAAAATACTTATATAATAAGCCTCATTGTAAAATAATATATATTAAATTACATAACACATAATTTACTTGTATTTGCATTTACATAGAAGGCAATGTCTAAAAAAAATTAAAAATGCTTAAAAACTCTTAAAATAAAATCACAGATAATGTGATGATCATAGCCATGTGCAAA